TTCCCGTCACCTCAAGGGTGAAATTGAGCGTGGCACTGTGATAGACCCGGATCGGTGTGGGTCTCACCGGTTGTGATCCTTCTTCTGCGCAAGTGCATCTAGCACAGTCCACACTTGGCGGCATGCACAACGATTGACGGCTTCCCCATGCCCATCCGGGTAGATGAAGGTTAGGGGGGACGTCCTCTTGCCCACAAATTCCGTGCAACAAGCTTGCGGCTTTTTGATTCTTTGGCATGGGCGCACCTGGTGAACCCCTTTACACACTAGAGGTTGAATCTGACTCCAAGGGAATTCGCCGTGTGCTCGCGACTGTGTGCTGGATGTTCCAGTGTTCAATGGTCATGCCCCCTTCTGCGGGTCTTAGCGGGCGGTTGTGGAGAGCTCTGATTTGGCCCCCAAAGGCCTCCAGTGGCTTTCTTGCAAAAGCGTTAATCGAGCGGTTGTCAAAATGGAATCCGGACGTGGCTAGCAAAGGGAAACCAAAAGGAAGCCATCCAGGAGAAAGGCGACCGATTCCTATTTTGAGAAGCTCCCAATTCCCCGTTCTCTTCAATCCTTCCAAGACGGGTTCCTGAGAATTGGCAAGGTATTGCTCGTGTGGTCGAACCGAGGCCTTTCTATCCCAAGATGCTGGCGGCTGGGCTGGACACATTCGGACAACCGGGGGTTGGGGGTCGAGCCCACTGGTTCAGCTCCGGAACCGAAAGTCCGAGCAGTTGTGACTGTGACTTCAGGGTGAGCTCACTGTCAGAAGCAATTGGATGAGCAGTGCGGGAGGGTCGGAGACGGCAGGAGCCAGGGTTTGCCCGCGGGGACTCTCCATTCGCGGCAGGGCCCAGCATTTCAGTATATTGGGGCCGCGGACAAGCGTTGACCCGAAGGAACCTGAAGCTAAGCTCAGTTGACCCAATTGGCTGGCGGATGTGTGTGCGAACCCTGATGCTTGGCCCCTTTTTAAGGACCCCCCCTGCCAAACGGTGGTTGTCCCGTTGGCCTCTCTTTAACCCAACCCCAAAAAGGGTACCCTCGATTGAGTTGTCTGACGGTGACACTCTGGCGCCAACTCGGGCCGGAGCAAGGCCAGTGTAGGGCGAGGAGAGTCGAGGCTTTGTCCTGGCCTCTTTTGGAACCAGGGCACGGCCCCACATTTTGGGTGCGGTGTTCGATTGCGAACCGGTCTGACTCTGTTCTCGGTCCGGCGTTTGTTTGGGGTCCAAATCGGCCCAGAGGGGCTCCAGGTTGCGTCTGTTGCTCACATTGGGAAGCCGCTCGCATGCTCAGGACAGCATCGGAGATGCTTGGCAGACAAGGGATGGCGCTACCGGGGCCCGTGGCCTTTTTTTCTCTCTTTAAACAATGTTTGGATTGGTCCAAGATCCCTCCATACCTTTTGAGCATAGCCCGGGCCCAACGATTCCTCTGATTGGGTTTTTGGTTTGGGGACTGGAACCCCGGAGTCGCAATTTGTTCATTTTTATGTTTGGATCATTTGTTAGAGACTTGGCGCAACCCTGCTGCTGTTTTCTTTCGGCCTATCCAGAGACGAGTGATGAAGCTTCCCCACTTGGCTTGTGGTTTGGAGACTGGGCGTCTTGGAAGCGTCAGGTTTCGGGGGGTTGCGACGTCTCCCCAAAGTGAAGGACATTTTTCTGGGGGATCTCGTATGTTCGGTTGGGGAAGTGTTACCAGAGAGAAGGGTAGACGGTTGGTTCGGTTTCTGACTTCCTCTTGGGGCCATTGGCATGAAACATTCCTTGTGCCATCCGATCGCGGTTAGCAGCTAATAGGGAACGAAAAGGGACAACACGCAAGCGAAGACCGCGGCAATGCGGTTTAAAAAAGGAGGTCGAAAAGTATGGTCCGCCCTTTATTCATTGCTGCCTTGTGCCCTTCAAAAGGGGATCCAAGGGTGAGAGTTTGCGTTTGATTTGCTCGTCAAAGAAAAACGATTGACTCAGCGTTTTGTGGACCTCGAAGCATCCAAAGGGACGGGATTTGTCAGTTTCATAAGGCCGACCCCGGATTAATAAACCCGTCTCATTCATAGGAAGGGTGCCCCCCCCAAACGTGATTAGTCGCCACTAAAAGGGTACACCCCCGTATTAATGAACCCGGGGTTTATTACTCTGGGGTTCACACCGTTTTGCTGGAACACGCGAAACCAGTTGGTTTCCCTTGTGTCCAAATGTGGCCAGAGTTTGGGCTGCCAAGAAAAGGTTCAGTTCAATTTCCGCGACAGCTACTGTATGATGCGTGAAAGTTGTTCTGCGGGAGTCTTGCATTATTCTGTGCATGTTGTGTCGCGCCGTATGGTCGGTTCAACTTGTTCTGCGAGAGTGGTCTTGTGTAATTTGTTTGTGTACTATCATATGGCCTGTGCAAGTCGTTCTCTGTCTGTTGCTCTCTGTGTGTTGGAAGCTGTTTGATGGTCTGCGCAGTTCTGCAGGCGGTGTTTCGTGCATCTTGTATTCTGAAGGACTCCCCCCCCCCCCCCGAAACGTTTGGTTTCCATGAAACCGCGGATATCCTTTTGTGGCTCAGATATGCACCCCGAGTTGGGATGGGGGTTGCAAGCCCGATAGCCTTGTGGACCAGGGTTCCGATGGCTGCCCAAGTACTGCCCTCTCGTTTTGACTGGGCGGTCAAAACTGCAGTCTTCAATAATGGTAAACGCTTCGCGCTGCCCGCCTCGGCCCAGCCTAGTTTGAGGGCAGGGTCAGGAACACCGAAATCCAGTGTTGGGAAGGTCCGAATCCTACTGAAAGCTTGTGACCGCACCAGTTCGCCCGTGCTAGTTCGATGTTCGGAAGCCGTCCTGCTCGGAAGGTTTGAAATCCAAAACCAAGACTATCTCAGCTGCTCAGTGCCCTTGGAAAAAAAAAGGACCTCTTTCTGGGGATGAGCATTTTTAGTGGGGCTTGGCCTCCATAAAAAGGGGAACAATAATTGGTGTCACTGAACAACCAAGACCAACTTTGGGTGTTTGGGCACCTCCATTTCACGTGGCTGGCGGCTTGCCATGACATACATTTCTTGCTCGGTTGCTCAGCCCAAGACAGGTACATGGTGGGAATACAAACCTCCATTTGCTTAAGTACCCCGGAAAATATCCTCAATAGTGATAGTTTCCCTGTAAAACCAACAGGGGGACATAAAGAATATTCATTTCAGCAAGGATTCATCTAAACACACATCCTTCGGTCCTTCAGGATGAGAACCGCAACAAACACCTACCGTGTGAATTCACCTAGCAGCTTTGCAGTTGGTAGCTGGTGGTCGTTTGGCTTCTACTTACATGTTCCTTCAAACACCTGGGGTTCCATATGTCCCCTTTCATGTAAGGACCCCTGTTTAAAAGCAAACCCGTCAAGTTGCCCAAGTAAAAGGTCGTCACATCAATTGATGCCATGCGCCGGACCAGGCTGCTGGTTGGGGAAGGCCTGCGATGCTCTGAGATGCGCTGGGGCCTGGGCTGGGCAGGCTGGGCTGAGGTGGGTTGCTGGTTGGGCTGGGCCTGAAGCTAGTCTCAGCCACGAGGCCCATGGGTGGGTTGCTGGCTGCCGGGCAGCCGGACTACGCTGCTGGTTGCGCCTGGAACTTGGGCTGGGCGGGCTGAGCTGTGCTTGGGCGGGTTGCTGGGCAAGGCCTGTTTCATACACACTTGGGCCTGAGGCTGGGTGGCGAGTTGCTGGCTGGGCTGGGCCTGAGGCCAGTCGCAGACACGTAAGACACGCCAGCAGGCGGAGGTCAAGGCCTGGCCAGCCTGGGCTGAGCTGCTTGGGCAGCCGGACTGAGGGGCTGGGGCTGGTCGTGAGGCCAGTCTCAGACACGTCAGACAAACCTTGACACGCTGGGCTGAGCCTGCTGGTGGGCTGGGAGCTGGGGGCCGGCCGAGTGGCTGGCATGCCCTGAGATGCGCCGGGGCCTGGGCTGGGCAGGCTGGGCTGGGCCGTGCTTGGGCGGGTTGCTGGTTTGGCTAGGCCTGTTTCAGACAAGCTTGGCCTGGGTGGGCTGGCCTGACAGGCACGCAATTTTTTTACAATTGTCAGACCCATGGAGCTGGACGCCGACGAACCCCGAAAATTTCAAGGCCCGCCGGACAGGATTTTGGGCCAGCCGACATGGGTGGGGGGGGGGCGGCCGGGCCGGCAAAATTTTTCTGAGCGCCCTTGGCCCCTTTGGGGCCGAGGCGAATTTGCTTGGGCCACAACAGGGATCGCCTTGGTTGGTGCTTTTGGTCTGTGGATTCTGAGTTCGGATCGGGCGTTTAAGGCTCGACGGTTTCAGGCTCTGGCTTCCAATCGGTTTCCCGCGGCCACGCGAGAACTGCAAACCCAAATGGGAAGCTTCGCAAAATAGGGATCCCCTGAAAAGGTTGCCTAAAACGGTTGATTTTTGGTGGTTTCCCCTTGAACACCAGTCAAAAAGGAGGTCAACCATTTGAGACACCTTGCCGTTTGGTTTCAAGAGGACCTCGGGGTTCAACCCTCTCAAACCACCAATGCAACCTACCAAGTAAAACTCAAAGGTCCCGCCCAAAACAAAATCTCACAATTTTCAAGATTGGACACCTTCAACCCCTAAAAAAAACCCAAAACACCCAAACAAACCCAAAACGGCCAAAAGCCAAAAAAACAAGAACAAACCAAAAACACAATCAAACCACGAACTGGGGGGGGGGGAACACCCGAAGAACGGCATTTCTCCCCCCAGAACCGTTCGCCTCCGAGGACTACGTGTCCACAGATCTGCGGCGCTTGGATGCGGAGCCCGCGGAGCTCTTGGCGAACCGCCCCATGGACGACCCCTTGGAGTGCCTCGGACCCTGTTGGAGCCCGACGACTTCTCGGGGTCACTGGGGGTGGTGCTTTTTTAGGACTCGGAACCGCCAAAATGAAAAAAGGCAACGGTGCTTGTTGGTTCGTTTCCCAACCAAACCCATGAAACCTCTTTTGGGGTGGCATTCAAGTTTTTGTCCGCTCAAGTACTTGAATCAATGAATGCCCGGTTGGCGCGCCAAAGGGAAGCTGATAAATTTCTTTGGGGACCCAGATATCCGCATCCAATACGGGTCGTCTAGGGGCCGTGAAAGGCAAGCCTCGGACGTCAGATCCTGATCCACCATGGAACCTGAAGGTTGGACCCCCAAAACGCTGATGGTTTTCCTTTTGGTCTTTCCATAAAGACCCCATCAAGAAGGGGGTTCCCAAGACACACACACACACACACACACACCCATGCAAGGCTCACCAGCCACTGGGGGTTTCTATTGGTTTCCATTGATGTTTGACTTTTCCTGCATTTAGGGACACTGGATCACCAGTTAACAGATGGGTTTGCTTTGAGCTTCCAGGTGCGGAAATGAACATGTCTTGGCCTCCCCTGTTCTTTTTGGTACAGGGAATCTATCACCGTAAATAGTTTATCTGTTTTTAGGGGACTCTTGGGGCCAGTTTACCGGTTTCCTAATCTTTATTGGTATCCTTTGAGTCAACCCAGACCTCTGGCAGGTTTCTTCCCTTTTTCCTGTTTTTGCTCGGGGGGTCCACGGTTTGGGTCGTGTTTTGTTGGTTTCCCCGCAACAACAAATTATGAGCAGCACCCAAGACCGATTCCAAAAGGGCCATGCTAGTAGGTTCTACTTGGTGTTATTGTGATCCAACTTGTCGCCTCTCAAAGAGGATGCCAAAAACCACCCTCACTTGCATTGTTTGATATAGTTTTTGCTATCATATCTAGTGGTTTTTTCTTATTTTCCCGCCAAAAGCGGAGGATTGCGCAGATCGAGGTTTGCGGGCTTCAACAGCCTCACCCCCGCCAAAAACTTGAAGGGGCTTCCCTTCAAGAAAACCCGTGCCCAATGTCACCCACCAGGATACCTAAACCGTGAAAAACCAACTAGTGTTGTTTTTGGTCTTGGGGAAATTCCCTGGGGGATTTAGCAGACCGAGCCAGTATCAAAACCTCAGCCTTGGCGGTGGGGTAGCCCCACATAGGTCAACCTGCCACAAAAGGTCCATGTTTGGCGGATTGGGTTGGTACCACCATCCAGACAGGCTTTTTAAAAAAATATGGAGCAACCGCATACCGAATCTGAAGCGCAATTTGGCAGTGGACAATTAATCAACAAATACATCCCTCATTTGTTTTCAGAACGCTCCCCGTTCGTTTTTAAAGCACATGGCAAGATAAATACAATTACTTTGGGTTAAAGACGGGTTCAGCTGGCCATTGTCAAGAACTTGCAAACCTCACTCGCGGAATTGTTTTTTCCACCAACGCGAGATGCAAAATTCCACGACCGTCCCATCAAGTACCCCCCAGAATTGCTCGATTCTTTTCCCGTAATTCCACAGGTTTGGGTTATGGACCGTGCATTGCAAACCGAGGTACATCCTCTACGCGCCTTTGCTGCATCACCGGTCAGCTTTTCCCGCACCCAAAAGCCTTGGGCTCTTGGGCTAAAGAACCCTTTACAGTAATGTATGTCTGCAGGACCACAAGTTGATGGGTTTTGGGCGCTGCTCAAAATGGATGTGAATTCTTTTGGTTTCCCTGTGAACATCGAGCTGGGCGCTCTAGTTGTTGCAATTGTGAAACGCAAACGCCAGGAATACTCTCTATTCGCAGACACAACCATGACTTGGCCTGTGTGTGTTTGGCATCATCAATCAGTTTAAAGTTTTGACGCATCCCAAAATAACTCTAAACCTACCCCAACCCAAACCCTAAACCAGCCCTAAGCTAGCCTTAAACCCACACTAAACCAACCCTAAACCCACTGTAAACCGGCCCCGCACAATCCCAAACCGCCAAAAACAACCCGAAGCAACCCTAAACCCACCCTCAACCAACCCACACTAAACCCACCATGAACCCACCCTAAGCCAGCTTTAGCCAACCGAAACCCAACCTGAAAACGCGCATGTTGTTAGCACATGCCATAAAACACGCCATCTGGCGCCTGCCAAACCTAGGGGAAAAAGCGGCCCGCCAAACCTAGGAGAAGCAACTCTTCCACCGCCAGCCCGCCGTTGTCTTGCTTTCCTCCCCCGCCGAACCGTATCTAAGAGAGTGTATTTTTCTGACCCTATTTTTGTTTTCATCCTCTATCCGACATTTGTTGAAAGGCCGTTTTTGGGGCTCTCTTTGTTGTGAGACCTTGACCAATAAACAAGTACACTACTTTCATTAGCTGACCTTGTTTTAGCGCCTTACCTAGACACGGACAATCGTTTACCAGCGATTCGGCTTGGAAGGAAACGAGCGTCTCGCGCTCGCGCCCAACAATCCGAGTTGGGGAGCTCGCGGATCGCCCGCGTTGCAACTTTGAAACACACCCCATTAACGAGTTTGCGGGGTCTCCAGTATGATTTTATAGGGTTGACTTAAAAAGGAGAATCTGAGCATTTTGTTTTGGGTGCACCTATCTCAAGCGTGTCAACCAAGCTGCAAGAGGACAGCCCGGAGAAGAAAGGGCCATCAATGTGCAGCTTG